GAACAGAATAGGATGACATCAAGAGGCCAGAAGTGACAAAACAAACTGCAGCACGGTTCTGCTGTGCCAGTGACCCACCCAGCTGGAGCCGCCTCTGTGCTCCGTGCCCTGCACCGCTTCGAAACACCCTGGGTGCTCCTCCTCTCCCTTGCCGCTAGCGCAGCCCAAACCAAGCAGCGTCGCCGCTCCCCCCTCCATGTACCTTGGCAGCAGCGAGAGGTTCCCGGGCCGTGGTGGTCCCTGGGGGGCCTGTGGGTGTTCCCGCTCTGCGAGACGACAGGAGCTTCCCAGTCCAATGCCACCTCGCAGCCAGCATCAGGCTGGCGAGGGCAGCACTTGGTGGCACGTTCCTGGAGTGGTGACCTGAGCGAGGGTCCCCGGGGCGGGCAGCAGATAACTTGCAAACGCCGGCTGTGCCAGAGCCCGGCTGCAGAGCACCGCGTGCAGCAGCCCCGCTTCCTCCCTCCCGTCCAAATGAAACGCAGCCATGGAGCTGAGGGAATGCAGATCTGCCTTCCCACACCCTCTGCGGCAGGTCAGGCCGGCTCCAGGGACTCTTCCCCACCTTGGGTGGGAGAACAAGCCACCTCCTGTCCCCCCGCACACCCGGGGCAGGGCTCCTGCCTCTGCCACCCCGTCTGTCCTGCCGCCTGCCTGACACCCACCGACCGCCACAGGGGCCGCACCACCGTTGCTGCTGTTGCTCACATTTGTTTAGGCTGTGGCAATGCCTTGCAGCCTACTTGGGGCTGGGATTTTCTGAGTCTTGGGGGGGTCTCTGTTTGTCTGGGTCTGTGTCGTGTTTGTGCCCTGCTCTGTCACCACAGTCTCCTGCACCCTGTGTAATGTCACACTTTGAGTCAAACTGCTGATCTCATTGCTCATGATTGATGTTTTTCTTTTCTTTTTCTTGTCCCATGCAAATGAGTGTGGCCCATATCGTGTAACGCGCTCTGCTTCCCTGCAGAAGTGTCTGTTGGGGATCGGCTTGTGGTCACTGGTCTGGGGAACAGCAAATAAAATGGGACATGACGGTTTTCCCACACAGCTGAGCTGGTGAGCTGGTATGAGCTGGTTATTATCTTCACTTTGTTTCACTTTTTTCTTTTTTTTCTTTTTCCTTAGATCCCAAAACAGCCACTGAAACAGAAACAGAGATCTGTGCAGAGTGGGAGATAAAGACCATTACTAGTGCACTGAAAACCTACCTGAGGTAAGGGAGAAAAGCCTCATCTGTCATGGGGCTTCAGGACGGATTCAGTGATGGTCTGGGGCATTACTGCCTGTTATTGCAGATCCTTAACAATAGCACTTTAATAGAAACAAAGAAGAAACTGCTCTTAGAGAATTTACTCTGGCTTTTCCTTGACCCACCAGCATGTTTGAGTAGGATCTGGGGAACACGATCAGCAATCTGACAGATGCATGTATCATACAAACATGATTTGAAAAGCTCATTCTTGCATCCCCTCCCTTGATTTAAGCTTTTCCCAAAGCTTTTCACAATGAGCTTCCACCTAATGAGCGTGTGGCAGAAGGGGAGCACAGTGCTCCTCTAAGGGCTGTGGCTGTAGTGCTTTTTCAGAACCGGGTGCTAAGCTTTATTGTAGTAATAATTTCTGTGTGCAAGTTGATGCCGTTACCATCGTGGGCTATCTTCCCAAAGGGTTAGTTTGTTGGCAGCACTCAGCATCTCATTATCCACAACATGCTTCTACCTGTCGCGACTGCAGCTTCTTGCTTGCTGTTGCTGTTCTGTGCGATGGGTGTTATTTGAGAGAGGGAGAGTGCAAGAGAGAGGCTAAATCCAATTAGGGTGATGAGTATAATTAGCTTGGTGGATCTCAGCCTAGAAAATCACAAAACGCTGCATAATTTTGCATGATTGGCAACCTTTGCTCCAGAGTTTGAACTGTTTGCAAAGCAATGAAGAACGTCAGCAGCTCCAAGGTGTCCCATTCAAGGGATGTGGAAGTGGGAGGGGAGAATGGGGAATTTAATGGGAACGGTGACTGTTAAAGTTTTATGACTGGGCTTGTTTCTCTTTTTAATTTATTGTTAAACTTACTGGGAAATCATGGGCTCACTAATGTACCAAAACTTTGTGTTACTGAAGGAATGCTAAAATTAAAAATGAATTTAGTGTGACACAGAAGAGGGAGGAAGAATAAATCGAAGGTACTTCAATAGATCTTATTCCTTCTGATGGGGGGAATTAATTAGAGTTGCTGTTGCTTAATTCTGCAATTTCAAAAATGGAGCTGAACTTATGGTAAGGGCAAAGCTCTATTTCTGTGTTACTCAGATGTGTTTTGTGCGTGTTACTTTTTTATCTTCCAGAATGCTTCCAGGGCCGCTCATGATGTACCAGTTTCAAAGGAGCTTCATCAAAGCAGCGAGTGAGTTTGTTGATGTCTATGGCACTGATCTGAAAAAGGAGCATAATTTGCAAGTGACTGAGTGTAACCTCTGCCCTGCTGCTTCCCCACCGACCTCCTTGTTCTTAAGTCCCGGAAAGTAGAATAAGAATGGAGAGACAAGGGGCATGTTGTTGTTTGGGACTTACCGGATGAAAAGGAAACACAGATGGTGCAGGGGGAGCGGAGAGCTGGCTGGGGGCAGTAGCTGTTGCTGCAGCTCTGTCTTATTTTGACCATCATCTGCCAAAATGAGGGAGGCCGTTGTTCAAACACCACCTACGGTGTTTTGATGAGATCAGTTGCGGTTCAGATGTCTGTGCCGCTTTCCTTTGGCTGCCATGAGAGAAGGTGCTTTGTATGAGAGCAGGTAGATCTCTGTTGGCAGCTGTGCAGCCTGTGCGGACACGGGTGGGACCAGGGGGTCAGGAGGGCTCACGTGGTCCGTGGCCACATCGGTGGTGGCCTCCTTGAACGGCTCCTGCTTAGGCTGTTGGGGCATGTCTGCCAGCACCTGTGGACCCAACCAGCCTGTTGAAGACCAGATGCTACAACCTCACCGAGTGCTGTGCCGAGCACATCCCGGCGGTGCTTGGGAACACATTGAACAGGAACGTGCTGATGTTCCCATCGCTGGAATCGGAGAAACGCTCTGGTTACAGTCAGCCCCTTCCCTGATTACAACTGGCTTTTCACATGGCTGGCATCTGCTCTCAGCTCACTGTTTCAGCCCATTAGTTTCTTCCTTTTGGAAGCAACTGGTTGGAGATGGTAGAAAGGGAAAGTGCTGTGGAGAGTATATCTGCAGCGTGCCTGGGTGTAGGGTGTGGGAGCGGTGGGTCCCTGGGATGTCTGTTGGTGTTAATGTTTGGGCCTGCGTGCCTTTTCCCATAACAACCCCCTGATGCAGGGATAACTCATTTTTTGTTTCCAATGCAGAACTGGAGAATCAGGAGTCGAGGGTGTCAGAGATCCACAGCCTCGTTCATCGGCTCCCAGAGAAAAACAGGCAGATGCTGCACTTGCTCATGAACCACTTGGCAAAGTATGTTTATGACTGACATGTTTTTCTCTCCTTTTTCCACTTCCTCTGAAAGTTAATAGTGGTAGAAAAGTTTCCTTGTGTGTGTGTGTGCGGTGTTGAGTCATATCTGGTTGGCGAGTAACTGGAAACCTGTGTGTGAGTGAGATGAGGACTGACAGACGGAGTGACCCACGTCCCTGCCGTCCCCTGCCTGGGCGGCCGTGCCCCGGCCCCGCGGCGGTAGGAGGAACCCCTATGCTACTGGGAATAGAGCGTTACTTTTAATGGTGTGGTAACAGGGTTTGGCTATCCAGAAGGCAGAGCAGAGGTTAAGCTTCTCACTGGGTTTCAGATCAAGCCTAATATTAAAGGACTAAAAGCTATTTCTTTGCTACAATGGAAGACTACTCTGGGGCATATTTTCTGCCTTTATGCAACCTGATTAATCGATGCTTCTAGGTCACCTTGAAACTTTCTGAGGGCAAAGGAATTGAATAATTTTTTTGCTTTCAGTGATAGAGCGGACCTGTAATTTCCCATCTTCTTCCTGCTCCTGCAGGTTACCATGGGAACCTTTGATTAGTTTAAAAAGTGAAAGCATCATCAGGTGTTTGTGCCAGCCTCAAGGCTGCAGGGTTGTACCTGCCCTCGCTGTTTGTACTGGCGCTGCATGAGCAGGAGGGATTAGGCAGGACTTGGAAACCTGGGGAATGAGTTAATCGGCGTAACCGCTTGGAAGAAGGTCTGGGAGAACCTGAAGTTATCTGTTTAGGAGAAAAGATAACAAATGATACTTGAAATAGGCTTAAAAGTGACTCCAGATGCTTTCTTATGACACGGGTTTATATCTGTTCCATGGACTCCCCGGCAAGGCTGTTAAAAACCAAAGAGCTGGTTTAGATCTCGGTTTCAAAACCTTCTGCATTTACAAGCTCAAGCCAAGGGCCAGGCGGTTCCAGGTACTCCCATCGGCCAAATATGTGCAAGGAATCTCATAACCGCTTAAGTGCTTTTCATTTAAAAGAAAACCTGGTGGTGTTTGAGTGAGAGATGTGGAGAGGGGAGGCAGGTAACACAATGGGTTTCATGCTGCTTTGGTAGGGAAGGAACTAAAACAAAACACAAACAAACAATGAGCGTAGTGGTGTGTGCTATATTAGGAAGAGAAACAGCTCATAGTGGTTTTTTAATGGGAAAAAAATTATCTCAGAGAAAGGCAGGAAGCCGAGGAGTGAGCGCCTGCGCTGCTGAGCTCCCTGCCCTGTCCTGGCCCCGGAGCTGGTGCTGTTCCGGGGGGAATGCCGGGCAGTGGGGGCCAGAGGCACGGCCAGCCCCGGGCACAGGCCCTCCAGCATCCCTCCTGCATCTGTCTGCAGCCCCTGCATGGCAGCTCTCCTGCCACGTGCTGCAGGGCCACCTGGCAAGGAGGACCTTGCTCCAGGAGCACCAGGAGGGCAGCCTGGCCCGGGACTCATTGCTGCTGCTCTTGTAAATGAACTGGTTGAGGCAGCGGTACCATAAAGCTGGATTAAAGATGTGGTGGTGGAGATAAAGCTTCACATCTGCAGAAGATGTTTGGAGGGAGGGAGAGCGTGGCAGAAGGGACGGGGGCCTGGCTGTCCCGGGTGACCTGCGTGGGGAAGGGGGATGCTCTGGGGTGGTGTCGGGACCAGTGGGGTTTGGGTGCTGCCCCATCTCTGACGAGGGGAGCCTAGAGCCAGGCATCCACAGCTAACGTGGGCAGAACCGAAGGGCCCCTTTCTGGCCCTGCCAAGCTGGGCTGCGCTTCTCAGAGGGGATTGCCTCATCTGTTTCTGTTTTTTTTTTTATTTTATTTTAAGTAATGTATGAATAATCAAGACTTGCATTTTTATCAGATGAGCTAAAAAAATATTTCTCACAGTATTACTGTGGAGATCTCTTACACTAAAAGCAGAACTCAATCTGTATCAGTCAAACAGAACCTCCTGTTTTTTTGGTTTGTGTGTTCGCTGTTACTTAATGAAAAGGGACATGGGGCTCCTTGTGTGGCCTGGGGCTGCCGTTAATAACAATAATAAAACCGTCCTAATACAGCTGATACATTGAAAAATGGCAATTATTAACACAAATTAAATATGCCCTTCTGCGTAGCAGAGAAATGCCGTGGGTTTCCCGTGGCGGCTGGGTGCCCCGCTGCGATTTGGGGTGCGGCGAGAGGGGCTCGCACCCCAGCGGGCGCCGTGCAGGCCGGGGGACGCCGGCTCCCGGGGAAAGCGCTGCTGCTCCCAGGGCGCATCCCCCTGCGCGGGAGGGGGAAGGAGAGCTGGAGGCGAGGGGAGGACAGATCCCAGGGACAGGCACAGGCAGGGTGGCGGGAGGGGAGTGTATAAATAGAAAATGAAGTTGATTTCTGCCTCTTGCTGTAGCTCTAAGCCTATTTGCGCTGCCTCCTGTCTCATGTTCAGGTGTCCAGGCAATTATCCACAGTGAAATACAGAGCGTGAGCAATCCCTCTTTGTGCTCCTTTGTCAGGAACGTAATGCTGCAAATTTCCTCCTCTGCTCTACAGACCCCAGTTCCAGTGAAACTTGCTATTATGATGTTATTCTTTGACCCATGAGTAGGTGAAACCTTAATTTTCCTTCCTGGGACATGTTCACGCTGTCAGGATTCCTGTGATAAACCCAGAGGTGATTTACTGTTCCTGAAAGAGAGGAGATCTCTCTGTTCTGATGTTTTTCCAAGGGGACCTCTGCAGAAAAGCCTGAACACCCACAGTCCGGACTGTCCCAGTAAGCCCTGTGCCTCCCGCCGCTGGCCCTGCCAACCGGCTGGTCTGAGGATGCAGCAACTGAAGTTAGGGAGACTCTGGTCATCTTAAAAATCACCTGGTTTCTCTTGTCTCAGGCCAGAATAGCCCGTGTCTTTCAAAGAATTGAAAGGCAAACCAGCACGTATCTTCTGTTTCTTGTAGCTGTTTTAGTTACCGGAGTCTCTGTTGCTTAGTCAGTCTGCTGCTTCTTGCAGCTTTAATGTTTGCAGGGGATGGCTGGTGAGAGTGCTCCTCATCCCCTGCTTTAAAAATATGGAATACACTTCTTAAAAAGCTACGTGAAGAACTGATGCCAGCAGACGTGGCGAGCTCGCTGTGCAAGCGTGCGTGGTACCCGACCGCACGTGGCAGAGACACGGCCCCTTGCCACCGCGCGCTCCCTGCTCTCTCCAGTGCCTTTTCCAGCATCATTTTTTAGCAGTTTGTGCCCAGCCTTCCCTGTGCCTGTCGGGGCAGCGGGCTCGAGCTCCGCATGGCACGGGACTCTTCACGCTGTCTTCAGAGTTTTCTCTATTCTGGGTATTTTTTCCCCACTGTTTCTAGCTGGGAAAGGAGGGAAACAATACTTCTGCTGCTGCAGAGCACCTTGGGTGCAGCAGGCTGTCCCAGAGCACGTCACCTAGCAACACGCTCCTGCTTGCACGCTTCTGAGTTGTTTTGCTGCAGATAGCTCCTTTTGGCCCTTCACCTATCTCCAAGAATGGCTACGCTGTAGTTTCAAATGCTTTTTTATCAATAGAATGTGCCAGCTCTGATAAAACCAATTTTTTTCTTTCTGCCAAATAAGTTAAAGCAGTTCAAAGCGAAGCAGAGGCATGCGCGGTGCTGCCGAGCTTGCGGGTGGCTGCGCCAATGGTGATGCCGGGAGTGGAGCTGGTTGCAGAAAATTGCCATTTTTGTTAGCAGAGCTGTGATATCATCCCTGTCTTTTTCTTCTTTTGTCATGTACTTTCTCACTAAGAAGTAAATGCTTTGGAGGTGCAGAGCAGGAGGATTTTGCTCTGATTATGTTACAAGCATTTAGGAATTTTTTTTTTTTTTTTTGCATGGACATAATTTGACATCTGAGCCTTGCTTTGTTCTTGTGGCAGCGAGATCCAGGTTCTCCAGTACAGATGGTGCCGTGCTTGTGCACCCTTCAGCGGGGCTCGGGAGCCCCTCCCGCAGCTCTGCATCGCTCCGTGCATAACTGCCGCTGCTCCGCGCATCCCCCCGGCCCGGGGAGCAGGGCCGCCCCTGCCTGCGCGTCCGCTCCTCTGCTGGCAGAAGGTCAAAACAATTAAGGAGGCTGCAGAAGCAATGTGTGTACGTGTATTTAGCAGAATTATCTTTAATCATTCACAGCTGCGGCCTGGCCAGCAGTGACTAGTTCCCTTTGTTTTTGCTGCGGTGGTGTTTTCTAGTTTACGTGTTTTAACCAACATGATAGTGATTGCTATCTCTAGCACAAATTGTTTTCCACTTATCAGTACGGATGGTTTCCATGGGCTCTGCAGGGTGGCTGCTATCGGCCATGGCCCAGAGATCCAGCAAAACCCACCCTCCGTTACAGCCCCTTGGCAGGACAGGGCAGGGCCTGGCTGCGGAGCGAAGCGCGTTTTGGAGGGCTCTGCTGAATGAGGGATTGTTGGCAAAGGAGAAGAAGAAAAAAATCCTCCAGGTCTTCTGCCTAAAAATACAACCCGGCACTTGTGTTTTCCTTCGCGTGGAGCAGTCTCGTCCTTGGCAGCCCTGCACCATGCTCCCTGGTCTGTGCTGCCCACACAGAGCCCCACGGGAGCCAGGGTCCCCGGCAGCGGCGCGGTGCTCGCTGGGGTGTGCTCTGTGCCTGGCGGCTTCAGGAAACCCACTGAGGCACCTGTGCAGGAGGCGGGGCAGCCGCTTCCCCAGAAATGTGCTTTTCCTTGGGTTCTTTTCCCCGTTTCCCCCCGAAGGTGCAGCCGGCGAGGAGGCTGACGCCTCTTGGCACAGCAGGTCTGATTTCATCCCCGTGGCAGCTGTTTATGCTGCTGTCTGGTAACTTATTCATTTGCTTGATTTATGTATTACTTCCAGTAAGTCATTCTTGTCCAGGACGTTCTGGAAATTTCCACTAGCCGCTAAGGCCTCTGAGATGCACTTCTCATATGCTCCGCGCCTGATTTGGCTGCCAAAAGAAAATAGCGAGCGAACTCTCTGACCTCGCATGGCCAGGCCAGGCAGCGAT